CCACGGTAAATTGTTAAGTGAAATAAAAGCAAATTCGCAAAGCTGTGTGCAATTGGTAATTGGTATTTTAAAAATAAATTTTACTACCTTTATATATGCATAAAAATCTTGAAACTTTGTATACCTAACTGTTAACCACAGTCATATCTGGATAGGTACAATATGAATTCATTTTTCTTGAATCCACATTCATTGATTGATTTTGTGAGTAAGCAGGCATTAATTTTTAAAATCAGGGGAAAAAATACCTTTAAAAAATGAAACAAAAGGAGCAAAGGGTTTTTTAAGAATCAAACATGTTGTATTCAACAAAAGTGTTTTCTGAAGCTCCTTTTGACACCCCATTCAGGTGACAGTAAAGAAGTAAAAGACAAAACCTACCAGGGCAAAGACAGTGGAGCTGAGAAGCCACCAACATATAGCCACAAACTTAGATCAGAGGAAGCAGAAAAGCAGGCAGATTGATTTCAAGGTGCAGGACCCTTGGAGGGCTCAGGAAGTAGAGACACTGAAGTGTTACTCAGAAGTAGGGAGCATCTGGGGATGGAAACAGGATTATTGATTGAAAGCCTATATAAGCAGTTGCTGGAAAATCCATTCATCTATCCATCCACCCACTAATCCATCCATCCACTAATCCATCCATCCATCCAATCAATCAAGCCCTAAGATTCCTCCCCTACCCCACACAACAGTGTGACTACTTTTCCCCCAACTTGAACCAACGGTTACAAATTTATTTTCTGGAGAAACTGATCTAAAAGAACTCTGGATGAAGGGAAGACTGGCACAGCTGAGGACAGAAGGAAACAAGGATGACAAAAGGCCAAATTATATAAGAAGTGACACCCCAGGCCTCTTTCCCCATGTGGACTCCAAGAACACTGGATGCCTCCCTCACTCAGCTTTACAAGCCTGGGCTTGTCACTTCACCAACTCGACTTTGTAGTTTCTTAAGGTGTAAAATGGAGTTCACTTATTAAACAAATGTGTGTTGAGTACCTATTACGGGCCAGCAAACTGCATTACATTCTGGAATAACAGTAAGTCAGTCAGGGTCCTTATCACTTAAAGCCTGCGTTCTAGTGCCTCAGTGGCAGTGCCAACCTCAGAAGTGCTCAGCACAGTACCGTGCTGATAGTCATGATGTTATTAATTTGAATGTCTCAGCGCCCTCTGCTTCTTGGAGACAGAACACAGCAAATCTTTCTAGTACTCCCAGAAAAGACAAAGTTAGAGCTTTGCCTAGATTGTTCATCATTATGTAACTCTTCATGGCAAATTTGACTTTGAAACTCCCTTCTGTCCAACCTCTTGACTGACTTATGTAGGACCAAGGTCACCGTCTTTCTACATCTGACACAGCCAGAAAAGGCCTTTGCAAGTCATGGCATGAATCCAAGAAGCGTGATCCCCAACTGAATTTACATTTGTGCTAAGTCGCTTCAGTTGTGTCTGACTCTGCAATGCTATGGACCATAGCTCACCAGGCTCCTCTGTCCATGGGATTTTCTAGGCAAGAATATTGGAGTGGGTTGCCATTTCCTCCTCCAGGGGATCTTCCCAACCCAGGGATCGAACCCACGTCACATCCATCTTTAAAAGCCTTCTATTTACCTATCCAAACAGGCAAACAGTCCAGATTTTCCTCCTATTGCACAAAGTACTTTGGGAGCACAATGAGGTCATGTCATCAAGACTGTTTGATGGGACTTAAAATGGTGTCTTTGTGAGGTTTTAGGTGGGCTTGGTCCTTAGTTGTTGCATCTGCAATGATGCTGAGATATCCAGAGAAGGAGAAGGGGTAGAATTCTGGAAAAAAGTTTTTTGGTCTTCAAACCAAGACACTGCATCATCTCCCAATGCTGGATACAAAACCAATTTCAAGTTTATCAGTGGGGATAACTACGCTAGTTTCCATTGCTAGAGGGGAGAAGTTAGCACCAGCGGTGCCTTTCACACCCGATGTCTTGGTGTTCATAACAGCTTTGGGAGGTAGGTGCACTCATAGCCCCATTTCACAGGCATGGAAAATAGAGGGCAGCTAGATAACACACCCAAAGTCTTCCATCTAATAAGAGGCAGCACAAGGTCTAGGAATCCAAATTCTTGGGTGGAAGTCCCAGCCATCTTCCCCAGCATGTTTGCACTCTCATCACAAGTCATTCTTTCATCTCCCATAAGACAAGGAATTCTGTCCAAGACCCCTCCTTCACTGAGTTGAAGCAAGAGTGCGCAAAGAATCAAACTTAGATAATGACACTCTAATCCACATTTACATAGACCAAAGAGTCTGTCATGTCTTTAAAGAAACTCAAATGAGTTTCTATTTTAAGAGAAAACTGAGTTTGCTGAATAAAACACAGAACCCTGAAATTCAACAGTTCAGTGTTTCCCATAAAAATGTGACTCTGAGAATTCTGTTGGGTAAGTGTAGCAACCCGAGGGCTTCCCAGGTGGTGCAGTGGTAAAAAACCCACCTGCCAATGCAGGATACACAGGTTCAGTAAAGAACCCACCTGCCAATGCAGGATACACAGGTTCGATCCCTGGATTGGCAATATCCTCTGGAGTAGGAAATGGCAACCCATTCTAGTATTCTTGCCTGGGAAATCCCATGGATAGAGGAGCCTGGCAGGCTACAGTCCATGGGGATCATAAAGAGTGAAAACATGACTGAGATTCTGAGCACAACAACAATCTGAAAAATTCATCAGGAACTGACAGCACAGACTGAGTGAGTCTCGAATAGCTTAACTTGTTGAATCTCTATTATAATGCTGGGAATTCCTGTAAGATTAGGTAACTATCCTAGGGCTTTCTCTTTCAAGAAGCTTCTGATCATCCCTGGATCTAAGAAAAGCCTGTGTCTAGATTTGCGCTAGTGACTTTGAAAAACACATCAAGCACACCAAGAGATATGCAAGTGCTGCCAGAAATTTATTTTGACCTTTGTTTACAAAAAAAAATACTGACGCTGGCCATCCTCCCAGCACTCTTCTCACCAGCCAGGACATTAACATTGATTAACAAACACAATGTCTGTGAGAGTCAGCTGCAGGATAATCAAATGTATTGTTATTATTATTTTGTTAATAATTTCTTTGGCCAGGAATACATAATGTCAAATTGGCAAAAATAACTTATCCTCTTGTCCAGCCCACAAACTGAGAAGAAAATTCAGCACACAATTGTTTCTTGTTTGCATTTCTCAGGGTGTGAAGCACTCGTTTTCAAACCCTCAAAATCTCTACACTTTCCATAGTGCAAAAAATTGCCCTCCCCCCTTGCCCAAAATTGCCCTCCGTTCTGATTTAAAACAGGGAATCTTGTTTTCCTCAGAAGGGTGATATTGTATTAGTCTAAGAATCTGAGGTATAGAGACATTTTTCCTCACAGTTGTATTGAGATACAATTGCCATACAGCCTACGGAGGCTTCTAAATTAAGGAGACAGAATCTTCTAGAGTATAACAGGCTTCTCAGGTGGCGTTAGTGGTAAAGAACCCGACTGGCCATGCAGGAGACGTGAGACTTGGGTTTGATCCCTGGGTCAGGAAGATCCCCTGGAGGAGGGCATGGCAGTCCACTCCACTCTTCTTGCCTGGAGAATCCCAGGGACAGAGGACCCTGGCAGGCTGTATCCACGAAGTTGCAAATAAGCGGACACAACTGAAGCTACTTAGCATGCAGAGTATAATAATGTTCTGCTTCTCTTTTCAATGCCCAATTCTACGTGATGAAGTTGTTTATCAGGCCAGGAAAATTTGCTGAACCAAGTCAAGGAGAAAGTTCCAGCAATGCTGATTTGCCTTCTTTGTGGGTTCATTTACCCCCTTTTTTTTTCTTGGCTACAACATGCAGCATGCGGGATCTTAATTCCCCAACCAGAGATTGGACCAGAGATTGAATCCATCCATGCCCCTCCAATTGGGATAACAGAGTCTTAAACACTGGACCACCAGGGAAGTCCCTGATTCACTTACTTTTAAGTGCTAGATTTATTTTCAAAAGCACATAGTAGCAGAGGATTCTTCTTGTGGCCTTAAAAATAATCACAGTTGACAAAAGATGGTAAATGTTAGACCCTAATTATTTGTTAGGAGAAATAGTACTACTATGCACCTTACTCTTAAAAGATATTACTTGCTGTACTTAGGCATTTAAAAATAACCTAAAAAGAGATTTTGCTTGTTTGTTTGCATTCTCTTAATATCTCAGAACAAGCAGAGGACATTGAAATGCTGAATTTAACATATTGCTGTCAAAATAGCTCAAGTCTTTTAAGATAATCCCATTAAGTGCAGATTTCTTTTTAAATAGCTTAAACCCGGCCTCACATTTTTGGGCTAAGAATGTAGCTTAAGTGATCAAACCTAAAGGTTCATGAAAAAGATTTTAATTAAATTTCTGAGAATTGATTTTTAAATGTCTGTGATTCATTTTCTGCTCTAAAAACTTCAAAACCCAATGTTTGGGTTTTGAAAGGCAATGGATTTGGCTCCAGAAGAGTGGCCGCTTTCTCTGTTTGGTTTTGGTTTGGCTTTTGGTTATGTGTGTTTGTGTTTTCTAGTTTATTACAATGCCTTGGGCCGAGCTGTTCCCTCGCTTTTTGTCCGACTGCTTTGAGAGGACAGAACTCTGAAGGACTTTATTTTCTCTGTCCTTCATAGGATTTTTCAGAGAAGAGAAGCGGTTGGAGGAAGAGGAGGGAAAAGCAGAGGGTTGAGCCAGTGAACTCTCCACCAGGGACAAGTTATTGACAAGATAAGGGCAGGGCTCAGGGCAGGCTCCCAGATGAAAGCTTTCACCAGTTTTGCTGGCTCTCTCTTCATGCTACAGCGAACACCCTCTGGGCATTTGTCCTAAAGATGCCCCAGCAGAATAGGAGCCACAAACAAGTAACCAGATCACCGCAGTCCACTGGGAAATGGCACAGCAGAGTGGCCACATGGCTTCATTAAGAGCTCAGAGGAAAGAGGATGAATCTAGACAGGGACTAACAGACCAAGGGACAATTAAGAGGGACTGGGGAGTCTGAGCCCGATGAGAGAGCCTGAGGGGAGAAAAGGCATTTCAGACAGGACAAACAGATGAGGAAAATACACATTGTGTATTCACAGACTTGAGAGAACATCCAGTTAAAGTTGAGGGAGGGTGGAGTCAGTCTCTGGAGATGATCCTATTAGCGAGTCCAGGGCCAGGATGAGTTTGCCACTTCAGGCTAAGGAGTTTGGTGTTGCTCTTTTAGGCCAAGGAGGGTAGTTGAGCAGAAGTGGAACCTGTGGTGATTTGAACAAAATGAATTAGATCTAATTCCACGGAGACTATGATTTTTTTTTTTTTTGGTAGCAAGGCATGTGAGATCTAAGTTCCCTGACTAGGGATTGAACCTGTGCCCCCTGCAATGGAAGCATTAAGTTTTAACTGCTGGACTGACTGGTGGCCAAGGAGGGTAGTTGAGCAGAAGTGGAACCTGTGGTGATTTGAACAAAATGAATTAGATCTAATTCCACGGAGACTATGATTTTTTTTTTTTGGTAGCAAGGCATGTGGGATCTAAGTTCCCTGACTAGGGATTGAACCTGTGCCCCCTGCAATGGAAGCATTAAGTTTTAACTGCTGGACTGACTGGCAAGTCCCTCCAGGGAGGCTATGGAGGAGGTGGAAGAAGAGGACAGCAGTTTGGAGGCTTTCAGCAACAATTAAAAGTGAGAGGTGAGCCCATGGGCAACTAAGACCTCATGCAGCCAAATAAAAAAAGAAAAATATATACATATGTATAAATGAATCACTTTGTTATACAGCAAAATACATTGCAAATTAACTATACTTCAACAGAGTAAAAACCCCTTTTTCTGGGAGAAAAAAAAAAAAGTGATAGATGAGGAGGGCTTGAACCAAGGCAGCCCAGCCTGACAGAAGGGAAAAAATGACTGAGATATTTAGGAATAGAAAGGGCTGAACTCTGTGCAGATGCCTGAATGCCCAGGTCAAAGAAAATGAGGCATGAGGTGAGGGAAATAAGAGCTTGGGAAGCTGGGGAAGAGTGATGAAATAAGGTGGGAAAAATGATAAGAGTCTGAGTGGATTAAGGTTCTTGACCATGAAGGGGACTCATGAGCATACAGCTGAGAGCTTAAAGGGAAGACAGGCTCTCTGTTGATGGACTGCTGACAAAACAAAAGTACATTATTTATTCATTCAACAACCAAAGAGTATGACCATATTACTGTACTAGAACTTGGGAATATGATAATGAAAAAACAACAGTTTCTGTCCTCATGAAGTTGAAAGGTGCCCTGGAGAATCCTGGTGGTAGAAATACATACCTGTATTGAGTGTTAAGTCCTACACTAAACACCTTACTTGGATGATCCTGTTTATAAACCTTATTACTTTCAGCAGTAGATAATATTAATATACCCATTTTGTAGAAAAAAAAAAACAGGGAAAGTGAGGTCAAGGAACTTGTCCAGCTAGAAAGCAGCAGAACCAGAACAGAAACCCAGGAAATCTCGTGTTACAGTTCACTTTCTTAACCTCTGCACAAGACGGAGGTAAAAAAGAGGCTGGGAGTTTACCAGGGCACAGGAGTCGCTCAGAGGCTGGGAAAAGATTTGCCACCCAGAGAAAGTTGCAAGACCCTTTCCCAGTCATTTATCTGTAGCGATGGATACTTCAAAGCATCTCTTGCTTTCACCTTCTGAAATAAGCAGCTTTTCCTGAATCCTGTGGCATTTACACACCAGTTAGGGTGCTGTCAGACGCCCAGATTCCAGTGCCCAGCTCTGGGTGCCAGGTCCTTCCCTTGTAACACTGATGTAGCCTCTTCAGTCTATCACACTCCTCCGTGGCTCCACATTAATCCCTTAGCACTAGTGGTTTCCATCACGTCTTCTGCCAACTAATGCAGTTTGTGCTCGAGGAAAAAAAAAAAATCTGTTTTATAACTCCAAGGACATTAATAATTAACTTCCATACCACAAAACTTGTAATATCAGTTTGCTGAAATAAAGTCACCAGTAAGTATTTAATTCTTCTTTCAAGGGTGTCTTCCATTATTATTTCAGAGTGCAATTTAGTCATCAAACGTTTACTCAGCCTCATGTTTATAAATTATATAGGCCAGGGATTTAACTCTTCTGGACCTACCTGTTCTGAAAAGAGGCATGGTCATAACCCTGATGTCACACCAGGCACCTGCCTTGAAAGGAGATGACTTGTGAACTTGAAGTTCCTTACCTCTTTTAGAAATGCTGGAGCAATTCTAGAGAGTTCCCTTTATGATGCAATCAGAGGAATAACCAGAAAGCTGCCTGCCACAAAGAGGCACTGGCTTTCCTCCTCCAGAAGGCTGTTAGGAAAGTTTGCCTTTTTAAATTGAGTTTCAGAATCTTGTCTTGATTATATGACATAATAATAGTGGCTTTCCTAATCATCTGTGTAATATTGTTTTTTCACCGTGGTGGTTACTTTTGTTGAAGGGAAAGGCCTACTGACTTAGATAAATAAGAGAAAAGCAGAAAGCTCCTCACGCACGGGTTCCGTAACTAGAAAATGCTAAGTCCTGACTTACACATCAGGAGGGTAAGGGTTGCCAATCAAGGAGTTATCCAAGTTCAATGCAGTTTAAGAACCCTGGCTTTGATGGTAAAGTGGATTAACTTTTCCATGTATCTTCAAGCCCCAGTCAGTATCCCAAGAAATGTTTGTCATCACAATGAAAGCAACAGGGGAGGAGGTTGCAGGTATCGTTCTTTCTTGGTTCCTCCTTTTGAATAGGGCAATATTTTCAGAGTTAAACTGGCTGGCTCCTATGGGGTGGGATTGAAACCCTCCAGGCCGCGGGAGGAGGGTCGGTGGTTTCCCCGCGAAAACCTGCCCTCCCCTCCGGCTACATGCCCTGGCAGCCATTGGCCAAAGCCCGGCTGGAGGACCCGCAAGGGCTTCCAACTCTCCGAACCGACCCGGGATTCCTGGCCTTGGCATAAAGGGCTGAGTGCATTCATTCGGGGCGCGATGCATTCCAAGAATGCTTCTGTGGTTGGCAAGGAGTAGGGAAATCAAGGATAACAAATATCCTAAGGAAACCTAATAGGTACCAGGAGCATAGGACTCAAATAAACAGGTGACTTAAAGTACGAGGTAACTGGATCTCAGTGAGGGTGAGCGCACACTGCCCAGGGCTGGGGCTTCGATCCTTCTGCATCTCCTCCCTTTTCTCTCCTGGGCTGACACCCGGCCGCCTTTACAGACCAGGGGGCTTGGTGCAGAGGGCGGTCTGAGCCCAAGGCGCGCCTGAATCCAAACAAAACACCTCGCAAGCCTACGTTTAGAAAATGCTTTTTGACATGTCATCTTCTTTTTTTTTTTTTTTTTTTTTTTTAATAAAAGGCACTGTTTGCAGAGAAGATGACGGCGAAAACATTTCCCGGCTGGAAAATTACTGATCACAAACCAAGGGGGAGTGGGGGTGGGGAGGCCGAGTTATAAGACTGAAATAACGATTGCCGTTTCCTCTTCTCTTCCTGGTGGGCAGGGACGGCTGCCGCGAGCTCCGGGGGCCCTGTTCCAGCACCCGGGTCCCACCGCATCGTTCCACGTTCTGGCACCGGGCCACTTTCCAGCCGAGCCCCTTTCGGTGGGTCTGACCGCTCTAGAGCCTGAGCCAAGGGAACGAGTTGCCGTTTGACCTTTACCTCGCCACTTCACCTCTTTATGACTCAGTTTTCTCATCCATAAAGTGGAGAGTTGCGTGCTTTGCAAAGTGCTTTGAGATTCCCGGTTGAAAGGTGTCCCCGCGCCTCACGCCCCTCCCCTCCCCCCACCTCACATAGCGAAATCTCTTTCAGTCCCTTCCTCGCTCCTTCAGCTATCAAAGCCGTAGCTCCATTTCCCATTCCGGCCTCTTTCCGCCCTTTTCAGACGGGGAACACCCCTCCCGCTTTCTCAGTCTCCGGGTCCTCGCCACGCAGGTGAGGGCACCCACCTCCCTTCTACTCCCAACCCCCACCCGGGCAGACGAGCCCAAGAAGGACTATGCGAGGCCAGGCCAAATGCCCGCACTGGCGCTCGGGGACTAGACCAGGGCTCCTGCGTGCGTATGACGGACCCGAGCTGGATGAGTCACGCGGATAATCGCGCTCTTCTCCAGTGCGCAGACTGCGCGGCAAGCGCGCACCGGAGTGGGGGTGGGGTAGCGCTACAGTCCCCCTCTCCCCTACCGACCCCTCTTGGCCGCGAGCTTCGAACTCAAGGAGCGGCCCGTGGCGACGCCGACTGTCCTGGTCGTGCGGCGACCGGACCTGCGCCCCGTACCCAAATCCCCGCGGCGGGCCCGCTGCCGCCACCGCCGCCGGCGTCAGCGCGGCTCCTGCCCGCCAGCTGCCGGGCTGGCGTCACGGCCCGCCGGGCCCCGCCTGCGCCCCTCCCTCCTCCCCGCCCCCACGTGCGCCGAGTTTGTTTATTTAGCTGCCATGGCAACGCGCGGGGGGGCCGCTGGAAGGAGGGGAGAAGAAAGGGAGGGGCGGGGCCTGGCGGCTGGCCCGGGCGCGCAGCGGGTAGGAGGCGGGGGGAGGGCGGGAGCGGAGAAGTTATAAGTAAGGAGCGCGCGGCGGCTAGGGAGGGGTGAGGGCGGATGGGACGCGCCAGAGCGGTGGTCGAGAGTGGCCCCTGATTTCTGCCTCTGCTCCCCACCCGGTCCGAAGGCAGACACCTGGCGAGTCTGACATGGCTGTCAGCGACGCGCTGCTCCCGTCCTTCTCCACGTTCGCGTCCGGCCCGGCGGGAAGGGAGAAGGCTCTGCGTCCAGCAGGTGCCCCGAATAACGTGAGTGTCGGCCCGGGCCTCTGGGGCCCTCCGGTGGGCTTCTGTGGGTGGGATGGGGACGGGCGGAGCCCTGGGGTCACCGAGCACCTCTAGACGCCGGGCAGGAGTGGCCCCGCACGAGCTCCTCCGCAGGCTACCCGGGATGGCTTCCTGGCCCATGGCTCAGCTGTACATGCGTGTGGTCCCGACGCGGTGGAGCCGCCGGGGGCGCACACCGGGTCCGCACACGTCCCGGAGCGCGCGAGCGGCAGGGCGGGCGCGCGGGCCACCGGGCGGGAGGTGTCTGTGTCCCCAGACACTGGCTGGGCCCGAGGGAGCTTGGCGCGTAGGCGTCCCCGTGGCGAGGGCGCCCCAAGAGAACCTCGGTGTCCCAATTCCCGGGGCGGCGGGAGCGTCCCCGGGATCCGGCGGGGGTGGGACCCAGGCTGGCGAGCCTCGGCGCTCGCTCACACGCAATTGGGCAGACACAACCTAACATCCTCCATATATCCACGCACCGCCTCTCCTCAGACCCGGGTGTGGGCCATGATGGCAGCACTGGCACCTACAGACCCCGGGGCCCTTCCTGCCCGTCCGGTCCCCGTCTCTAGGCGGTGTAGGCGCGGCGGGCCCACCACTAACATCGGTGGCAGTTAGGGGCAGCACTGACTGTTTCTCTCGCGTCCTGTCCCCACAGCGCTGGCGGGAGGAGCTCTCCCACATGAAGCGACTTCCCCCAGTGCTTCCCGGTCGCCCCTACGACCTGGCGGCCGCGACCGTGGCCACTGACCTGGAGAGTGGAGGAGTCAGCGCGGCTTGCGGCAGCAGCAACCCGGCTCTCCTGCCCCGGAGGGAGACGGAGGAGTTCAATGATCTCCTGGACCTGGACTTTATCCTCTCCAACTCGCTGTCCCATCAGGAGTCCGTGGCCGCCACGGTGTCCTCCTCGGCATCAGCCTCATCCTCGTCCTCCCCGTCGAGCAGCGGTCCAGCCAGTGCGCCCTCCACCTGCAGCTTCAGCTATCCAATCCGGGCCGGGGGCGACCCGGGTGTGGCGGCGCCGGGCGGCGCGGGCGGCGGCCTCCTCTACAGCCGGGAGTCTGCACCCCCTCCGACGGCTCCCTTCAACCTGGCGGACATCAACGATGTGAGCCCCTCCGGCGGCTTCGTGGCCGAGCTCCTGCGGCCCCGTGGCCGAGCTCCTGCGGCCCGAATTGGACCCAGTGTACATTCCGCCGCAGCAGCCGCAGCTGCCAGGTGGCGGGCTGATGGGCAAGTTCGTGTTGAAGGCGTCACTGAGTGCCCCTGGCAGCGAGTACGGCAGCCCGTCGGTCATCAGTGTTAGCAAAGGCAGCCCGGACGGCAGCCATCCAGTGGTGGTGGCGCCCTACAGCGGCAGGCCGCCACGCATGTGCCCCAAGATCAAGCAGGAGGCTGTCTCCTCGTGCACCGTCGGTCGGCCCCTAGAGGCCCACTTGCGCATTGGACCTCCTCTCAGCAATGGCCACCGGCCGCCTGCGCACGACTTTCCCCTGGGGCGGCAGCTCCCCAGCAGGACTACCCCGACCCTGGGTGCGGAGGAACTGCTGAGCAGCCGGGACTGTCATCCTGCCCTGCCGCTCCCCCCGGGCTTCCATCCCCACCCCGGGCCCAACTACCCTCCCTTCCTGCCCGACCAGATGCAGCCGCAGGTCCCACCGCTCCATTACCAAGGTCAGTCCCGGGGATGCATAGCTGGGGCTGGGGAGCCCTGCGTGTGCCGGCCGGCCGGGGCACCCAGGCTGACGCTGACCCCACCTTCTTCACCCCTAGAGCTCATGCCACCCGGTTCCTGCATGCCAGAGGAGCCCAAGCCAAAGAGGGGAAGACGGTCTTGGCCCCGGAAAAGGACGGCCACTCACACTTGTGATTACGCAGGCTGCGGCAAAACCTACACCAAGAGTTCTCATCTCAAGGCACACCTGCGCACCCACACAGGTAGGAGGACTCGAAGCCGTGGAAGGGGTGGGGGGCGGCTGATGTCCAGCCTCGACACTCCTCAGGGCCTCCCTTGGGATGTGGGGTGCAGTCTATCTCCTCCATCTCCTGGATCACAGGAGAGAACAGCAAACTGGCGCCTACTATTTTGCCCAGGAGCCTTTTGATGGGCGGATGGTATCAGTGCTTGAAAGTGCAGTTTTGTTAGGCCTTTGAAAGGCGGGGAGATTCCAGGCTGCAGGTGGGCCTCTTCGAGTTTGAGCAAAGCATTGCCCTTGTAATCAAGAAATTATGCCTTGCTGTGCAGAGTCATGATAAGTTTCTTAAACAGTTTTGTATTCTCCACTATTTTTATTGGTTGTTCCCTTCCCAGGGTTCACCCCTTCCCCCTCTCTAGTCCTAACAATTAGGTTTTATTTAACTCTCAAGGACTTAATGGTTAGGCTTGCTGAGATTTTGATTTAAGATTGTCACCACAGAGAATTTGTGGATGTAAGTAGGTACAGAAGGTCACTAAGGTAAAGCTTTCATTAATAATACTGGTACAGGAAAAGTAGTAGCCTCCTATCACTTTTTAGAACCAGTTGCAGTGGGATAGGATATTATTGCTTGGTTTGGGTTAGGAGAGACACACTAACAGTCATAATCTCTAAATTCATTTCCTGCCCCTATCTTTGCTCAAAAGAATGAAAACGTTAGTCCAACAGAAGTATAGTTTTAAGTGGTTTTTGTGTTTTCTGCGATTATCTAATTTCCCTTAAAAAAAAAAAAAAGAGCAAAAGAAAACACACGTAAAATTCCTGTTTATGATCTGAAATTTAATACAGCCCTGAGAAGGTATAAAGACGTTTCCTGGATTCTTTTGGAATGGGGTACTTGAGTTGGTTTGATGTCTGGCTTCCAAGTTCTTAAAATTTCATCCTTCAGGAATAGCTTCCAACGAGTTTTATTTTCCTTTTCTAGGTGAGAAACCTTACCACTGTGACTGGGACGGTTGTGGGTGGAAGTTTGCCCGCTCAGATGAACTGACCAGGCACTATCGCAAACACACGGGGCACCGCCCCTTCCAGTGCCAGAAGTGCGACCGGGCATTCTCGAGGTCGGACCACCTCGCCTTACATATGAAGAGGCACTTTTAAATCCCCAAACAGTGGATGTGACCCACACTGCCAGAAGAGAGTTCAGTATTTTTTACCTTTCACACTGTCTTCCCGGTGAGAGGAGGAAGCCAGCTGGAAAGCACTACAATCATGGTCAAGTTCCCAACAAGTCAACTTGTGAATGGATAATCAGGAGACACAAGGAAACCAAAAGACAAACTCAAAACAAAAACCAGATGGGGTCTGTGACTGGATCTTCTATCATTCCAATTCTAAATCCAACTTGAATATATATATTCCTGGACTTACAAAACGCCAAGGGGGTGACTGGAAGTTGTGGATATCAGGGTATAAATTAGATCTGAGAGTTGGGGGGAGGGAAGACCAGAACCCCTTGAGAATTGTTTTGATGCAATATAAGCATAAAGATCACCTTGTATTCTGTTTGCCTTCTAAAAGCCATTATGACGATCTTAGAAGAAGAGGAAGAAATTCAGGTACAGAAAATGGTGTTTAATAGCCTAAACGATGGTGCTTGGTAAGTCTTGGTTCTAAAGGTACCAAATGAGGCCAAAGTTCTCAAACTGCTGCATACTTTGACAAGGAAAATCTATTTTTGTCTTCCGATCTACATTTATGACCTAAGTCAGGTAAATACACCTGGTTTACTTTAATCTTTTTATGCAGATAGTCTGTTATGCACTGTGGTTTCAGATGTGCAATAATTTGTACAATGGTTTATTCCCAAGTATGCCTTAAGCAGAACAAATGTTTTTTCTATATAGTTCCTTGCCTTAATAAATATGTAATATAAATTTAAGCAAACTTCTATTTTGTATATTTGTAAACTACAAAGTAAAAAAAATGAACATTTTGTGGAGTTTGTATTTTGCATACTCAAGGTGAGAATTAAGTTTTAAATAAACCTATAATATTTTATCTGAGCCTTGTTTTTGTTTTGCGTTGTTTTTCCCCGGGAAAAGCACATAACAGAAACTGCAGTTTAAACCCAGTGGGTAAAGCTCGGGAAAAGCACCCCCAAAAAGCTGACTTTATCTCAAGAGATTAAAAGAAGACTTTTAAAAGACTGCTTAGTTTTACAATGAGTACTGTATAATGCTGTGGGCTGAAAGCTCTGAGGATTTATGATCATAGAATTAAACTTAGCTAGTTCAGGTTTCTCTTTCAAATGCTCATTAAAAGATATAGGAAAGCAGTTTCCCTACCTGACTATGAACTTCCAGGTAGAAACAGCTCATTCTTCAATTTGCTCAGTTTACTATGAGAGTAGTCATAAACATGCATGTTCCAGTTTCACATTTTAAAAGATCTTTATGGTTTGTTCTTTAAAATCGAATGAAAATGTAAGTCTCTCTTTCCCAGGCCTGGCCTTGCACTCAGAACAATTTGTATAACAAAAGAACCTCCCCAC